AGCCAGTGGTGCCTAAACTCTCAGTGGGCGGGGCTACCCCAAAGTTGTTAATTTAAGCATGAAATTGATATTTACAAAATGTAGCCTTGATTTGATTGTTTGATCACAAGATAAGATACTTCAGAAGCTAAAGCTAGACACAGTTTGACATTTTAGTTTGATAAATGACTTGATTAACTGATTAACAAAATTGTCAGTTTTCTGTCAATGATCTAATTGATTAATTGGCTAACCTAATTGATTCAGCCCTACAGCAGTGGTTTAATATGAAATAGTTAGTGTTTTTGTGTGGTAGGCTAAAATACTGCTAAAAGCTCCACAACCGCATCCAGGGGTGGACCTAGAGGGGTGGCCATGATTTTTTTATTTTTTATTTTTTTTTTAGGGGTGACAGCTCTAAAAACAATTTGATCTCAAAGAGACAAAAAAAAGAGATGTTTTTGAAAAAATGTCTGAAGATTTAGAAATAATCAATAATAATGCCACCTCTAGATATATATATTTTTTAGTTAAAATATCTTAATTTGGGGGCAAATATTGACATATGTGATTAAATCAGCGTATCTGTATTTCTGCCACCTCTTTAAAGTCTTCATGCCACCCTCAGGGCCCCCCATAAATATTTCTCTAGATCCGCCCCTGCATCTGTGTCGTACTGCCTTAAGATCAGCCGAGGAAGGATGACGAAGATCAGTTAGATCCTCACATAATGAAGATGATTCAACGGTGGACTGTTGTATAAAGTTGAACGTTGAGATGAGGGTAAATGATGATGTGTCAACAAGGCAAACAATGACAAGCAAAAAAAAATGTCCTCCTACCATCATATTACTCTACCAGCATATGCTGGCCATTTCTGTCATCAAGAAGCCATTTTCTCAAGCTGAGTTTAATGGTTTCCTTTCTCAGTTGTAGGCATCTGCCAAGCTTTTACATCAACTGGTGCTTCCTCCAGTTGGCCCAGTCTGGGAGTCAGCGTCTGCTGCTGGTAAGCATCTCCGGAAGAGCCACTTGCATTAACACAGTGAATTATTTCCCCTCACTGCTTGAGACTCAGACTGCGGCCAAAATTAGAGGCTGTTTGAACTCTCTGTGTCATATCCACACAGATGTGACTGCCCTGTTATGAATCAGCAAAATGTTGACTGGTGTGTGTGTGTGTGTGTGTGTCTGTGTTTGTGTGTGTTTGCGCAATAGCCGGAGCATCAGGCAGGTGGTTTTCTTGTTTTCCTCAGTATTGAAATATTGAAGGGCTGACGGGATCTCACAGGCACGTTTCCAAACATCCCTCAGGAAAACTGGATGGCTTTCTTATACAAACAGGGCCGCTGCTTAACAGCTACACACTCATAAATTATGTTCACAGCCAGAAAACTGCCATAGTCACATTTAACATAGTCACATCTATAAACATTTAATCAGACTTTACAGCATCACTGCCCATTAGTTAGGGGACTGATTAACAATAAAACAATACTTTATTATTAAACTTGTTTATGAGCTTGCTTATTGTGATTAATCTGGAGAACTTGCAGTAATTGTCACACAAAATCATCAATAACTTCACTTGTTCTTGACAGGGACACAGAGCTTCAGGGCTGGGCTTGTGAAAGAGGGGCGGGATGTTTCCAGTCGAGCCCGGAGCGCCGTGCTGAACCTCAAAACACTGTTTCAGTCTCCGGCGCGAGGCCTGATTCCCACTTGTTTACTTCAACTCCAATTTCTATGTGCGCAACACCACCTGGAATGCGGACACTGGCGAACACAGTGTTCGAGAAAACGCACATGGCACATGATCAGAAATCCCCCCTGCAGGAATGTTGCGCTTTCTCCAACGAACACACTTTTCCCAAAAGCCGAGAGATGCGGGTCCTCGCACTATAATATAGCACACTTAACCGGCCACAATACAAGCGCGCAAACGCACCTGCGGCAGCGGCACAGAGCCGATCCCGCATCAGCTGAGCTATTAGAAATAACTTCACTCACGCTGAAAGGCGCTCCGCTTCTGCTCCGGGACCGAGGCGATTTGTCCTCCTCTTTCAAAGTGCGTGTCATAGCTGGCAGGTGCAACTGCGAATAGAGAGGTCCCGTCCGATGAGGCGCAGTGAGTCCGGCTCGGCCCGGATCGGATCGGCTCGGCTCGGCCCCGCTGGCTGCTGGCTGTCGGCAGATGATTGCGTAGCTACATTTCTGCCCCTTCTCCATCTGCCCAGAGCTCAGCGCACTCTGCCTCTCTGTTCCTGCCTTTTCATTATATCATGTCCATGTGACACGCTCAGGCCTCTGTCAATGGAAACTTAAAGGGACCTCCCACGTGATGGCGCTTCGTGCGCGCTCTCGGCGGCCGGTGCGCGTCCCGGAGAAATAAGATGCTGCGCCCCTAATAAAAGTACACCAGCGGGCCGTAAACACCTCAGACTGCTTCTACCGGAATGATGATGATGACTGCTGTGATGATGAAGAGGATGGGGATAGTTGTTGTGATAGTGATGAAGATAACTGTCAGTGCTTATGATGATGATGATGATGATGATGGTGAAGATAACCCTTAGTAGCTGTTATGATGATGATGAT